GCAGCCCCTCATGGCAATGGGCGATGGAACGGCATCATCAACAATGCGCCCCAGGGACACGTATCGCCGGCGCCGCAGCCGGTTGCACCTCCAGCGATCGCTCCCACGTCAACTACGAAGACGGCGAATCTGGGTGAAAGTAGGCCTGGACCCAAGGACGGCACGGTATCTATGGGAATTGGAGAGGATAAGGCTCGGCCCAAACCCACCATCACCTCTGTCAACCAGCTATTGTCGAATGGCGACTCTATTCGTTACCCCGATACCCTCTCGTCACCCAGTTCAACCGTCCAGTCTGCTCTAACCCCCGCGGGTAATGAAGCGTCAACCAGCACTAGCCCCGATAATGAGGCATCACAGTCTTTCGAGAAGCCACCTGCGGTCTCCAGACCCGAGCAGGAACCCAGGAGGGTTGCCACCGACAATAAGGGCACGGGCCAATTCACAGGACCATCTGTTGCTGCACTGGAATTACGTCCGCAGCCACAGCCTCCTCAACCGGGTGTGTATGTCAATGGAGTCTCAGGGGTTCCCATCTCATCAGGTCCTTCCGTAAGGCCAGCACTCAGCGGAGCAGAGGCACAGCTCCTTCAAGAATCAGCTGCAGCGCGGACGAGCCAAGCCGTCGGCAAGGCGGGTGTTGCGGTATCTAACGGGGTGCATTCTACTAGTGGGTTGCAGACGCAACATCCGTCTGCTGTGAATGGCGAGGTTCGGAATTTGATGAACGGTGGTATCCCAGGAAAGCACATTGCTCCGCCAGTGAGCGCAAGCACAGGAGTTACAGCGATCAAAGCCAATTTGCCAGAGGTGGCAAAACAAAGCCCTCTTCCTCAGGGCACCCAAACCCAAAGCAATCAGGGTCATGTTGGTCCTACTCCGATGGACATGGACAGATTTCCACCTACCCAGGCACCGAAACCAATCCCGAGTGTGCACGCAGTCCAACATAAGCCCCCTGTTCAAGAGCCTTCTCGCCAGCCTCAGCCCCCTTCAACAGCTCCGTTAACCACGCCAGCACCTGTGCAGTCTGCAGTATCTCCTGAGAAAACTGTTCCCGGGATTCAAATCAGTGCCCCGCCCGAGACAGAGATCGAGACTCAGGCCGGGACGTCCCGATCATCTCACCATGATACGGACTCTGCTGTTGCGGATGAGGAAGGTGACATGCCTCCAGGCTTGCTTACTCATCGCCTCAAGTCTCTGTCAACCAGGCTCCGCGAAAGGCGGAGGAAAAGTGTGCCTACGGTGGTCTTTGGCAAACAGTATAGGAAACCTCGTTTTAGTGACGATACTGCACTGGTTGTCAACAAGCCAAAGCCCCCCGGGCACATTCCGTCTGAAGACTATTTCGTAACGCTCTTTATTGAGAGTTTTTCCCGAACTTCATCCTGGATGAAGCCGCTCGAGAAGCTGTTGCACTCCGCCCACAAAACTGTGTCCACCTCTGATCAAACCCTGTCATTACTCGATCAGCAAGCCTGCAAAATTTTGCGTAGGGTATATCATCTCCAACAGCATGACAAGTGGTCTCTTAGGCAACCTGTCCGCTGTCTGGAACCGGCAAGGCCTGCGTCGCATCAGGACCTATTGATTCAGGAGATGAAGTGGATGCGGACGGATTTTAGAGAGGAGCGCAAGTGGAAGCGGGCAGTTGCTCGAAACTTCGCGTATGCCTGTGCGGAGTGGTATTATTCCAGCCCTGCTGACCGAAAACTCCTACAGGTGGACGCCAAGACACCTCCCGTTCGGGCAGCCGACAATGCTGATACTAGCATGGCAGATGCCCCAGAAACTGGCGAGTCTTCGGTCCCGGAGCTAGATCATTCGGATTCGCCCGTGGGTAACGATGAAGAGGTGCCGGAATTGCCAATCACCACCATTGCACCAGCAACCATTTTCGCCTTGCAGGATGACGAGGTGGTCTTTGAGCTACAGCCTTCACGGACCGCAGATCTTCTGTTAGAAAATCTGCCAATGTATGGTTCGCCGCTCAAGATTCCCAAGTTCGACTGGATAATCCCAGACTACGATCCCGATGCCAAGTGGAAGAGGCCAGCCGTGCCTCTCAGCAAATATGTTGAGGGCGAGATGGTTTTGGACGTAAAGCCACAGCCTCAGAAACGGTCTCGATTCCAGTTCCAGGGTGAAGATGAAGAGGAGGAAGAGGAATATGTCTTTGGCGCTCAGCCAGACAAGGGCGCGAAACTACCACCCACAACCACCGATGTTGCCTTGTTTGCGCCTGAAATGAAGTTGACTAGAGATCGTCTACATGCTGGCCATCAGTTTCGCCCACCTTCGGAGCACCCCATGCCTGTTCAGAGCTTTTTCGAGAGCCGGATTGCTTCACAATGGACATTGGCCGAGGATGATCAGCTCCGGACATTGGTACGTGAGTTTTCGTACAACTGGTCTCTGATTTCCTCGATGATCTCTAGTAGGTCATCGTTCCCATCAGCTGTGGAGCGGCGTACCCCTTGGGAATGCTTTGAGCGATGGGTGAACCTCGAGGGATTGCCTAGTGATTTTGCAAAGACGCCATACTTCAAGGCGTATCAAGCTAGGATTGATGCTGCCGGGCGGACCATTCTACAGCACAATCAGAACGCGGCACAGGGACAGCAGGTTGGACCTAACGGTGCAGTGACCCCTATTCCACGGAAGAGGCCCACCAACACCATGCGTGTTGAGAGGCGTAGGAACCAAAAACACCTGGCACTGTTTGACGCCATGCGGAAGCTAGCGAAGAAACGAGAGGCGGCCGCACAGAAACAGCAGGCTCAGGCTAGCATGACAGCCATGCGCAAGACAAATGAGCAGCAGAGACAGCAGCCCCAGCAGCAACTTCACCTCCAGGCGAAGACCCCTCAGGAGTACAGTCTCATGAGAGCCGCTCGCGACCAACAAATAGCAGAGAAGATGGCTCATCTTGCGGCGCGCCAGCATGAAATAATACAGAAGCGGGTAAGTGACCCAGTGGAATCCATTTCATCTCGTGACATCAGATGCTGACAAAACATTACAATAGCTACTCACGCAAAGACAAGCCCAATTGGCCGCCACACCCAGTGTCGCTCAGGTGCCTCAGACGGCAGCACAACTTGCAGCCGCCAATTCTCTCAACAATGCCGCAGCCAGACTCAATATTCCAGGG